ATCTGATTAGCCAATGTAGAACCTATGCTAGCAAAAAACGAATTAAAATGGTTACATATATCTGCAACTTCGGTAATCTCACCTGAACAGGTTACAAGTTTAGCAGGGGCAGCGTGGGCTTTAACTTTCCTATTGTTTAGGTTGTTAATAAGTTGCCACATTTTAAGCGGTTTGTTTACACAGTGTTCAAATAGTTTCAGGTAATAGTTAGATTTTGTCTTCTGTATGTATCTTCGCACTCTTCTCTTCTCTGCAAGGTATTCTTCTTTAGCTATTTCATCATTCGGTCTTCTAATGTGATTGTATCCTAGTTTTTCTCTTGTGCTTATTGCTTTTATGACATCTTTATTTATCCAGTCTTTATTTAGAGGGTTGAGTACCTTAGTTTTTGTTATCTTGCATTTGGTAATGGCTTCAAGTAGCATTTTTTCCAGCTTATCATAATCACCATTGCAGTCACCGAGCTTCATCGTGTTCAGTTCTCCGGGTAGTTTATTATAGTTGATACTTTGATATTCAATTTTCAAATTCTTTTCTGGTTGAAGTTGGTGAATCTCTAAGTAAATCTGTTTATGGTCTGATATTACTGATTCCACAATGGCTAAGTGGAAAGTGTTATTCTTTATATTAGAGCAGACATGATCAAGTATTGTTTTTATATAATATTTATGAAAGCCAAAGGTCACTGACTCATTCATCACGAAATCTCAGAAACTGTAAGTGCTAGTAGATTCTCACTAAGACTAAGACAACGGGATTTTGCCAACTTCAACCCATAAGGGTGTAAAACGGGATCCACAGTCCACACGTACGAAGTAGCGGGCGGCCGCTTGTATTGCTATATTCCAATGACCATAACGCCCTACTTCCAGCACATTGGCACCTCGCCCACACAGATGAAGTGGCATTACGTCACGCATGTGTTTGTAAACATTGCGTTATCAATCTCGTCTCGCGTGCGCCCGCGCAGTTATTGGTTATGGTTATGGCCAACTGCCGCTACCGCGGGCAGAGAGTTTTGACTTTGTTGGCGTTTCTGTGGCAGTTAGAAATGGACACGCATTTCCTGGGTTTAATTTTCTAGATTAATTGAAATTGTTGTTTTCAAAGGAAAGTAAAATCTCACATGTGATTTGATTTGACCTAAATAGATTTGAAATAAAATTCCTTTTTTTTGTTTTTTTATTGCCTAGTAATTAGTTTTTATTATTTTTAATGATTTTATCATCAAGGTTATCTTACAGGTAACTGGCCTAAACCATTTATCAGTAGTGGCTGTGGTAGTGGCAACAAAGGCTCTCTTATGGGCAAAAAATATACTTGGTCACGATTTTCTACGCTCCAAAACATGATTCGCCAATAATGTGGTTTATTCTGTTAATATTTATCGACCAAAGGTCTTCTTTTTGCAGTCACTATCGTTTCTATTATTAGGATCTCATAAGAAGTGGATGATTGGGCTCATAATTAAATTTTATTTTTAAAGCTTTTTCAAGGTTTGATTTGAATGAAACCAACCAATGTGTAGATTCACATTGGCGTCTTTGAGTGTGTCATCTCTCGCAGAATAAGGTCCGTACTTCATTATAAAGGCCCTATTTTCAATAGCAAAATTTTGGTCAAATAACTAATTAACGATATAGTAGGTAGGTACTCTAGTCTTATCATCGTCATCTTTTCAGCCACAGGACGTCCACTGCTGAACATAGGCCTCCACCAATGATTTCCACATCGCACGGTTGGTAGCGGCCTGNTTTATCCAGTCTTTATTAAGAGGGTTGAGTACCTTAGTTTTTGTTATCTTGCATTTGGTAATGGCTTCAAGTAGCATTTTTTCCAGCTTATCATAATCACCATTGCAGTCACCGAGCTTCATCGTGTTCAGTTCTCCGGGTAGTTTATTATAGTTGATACTTTGATATTCAATTTTCAAATTCTTTTCTGGTTGAAGTTGGTGAATCTCTAAGTAAATCTGTTTATGGTCTGATATTACTGATTCCACAATGGCTAAGTGAAAAGTGTTATTCTTTATATTAGAGCAGACATGATCAAGTATTGTTTTCGAGCTTTCAGACTCACGTGTGCAATACTCGGAATCTACTTTGTTTAATATCAAGAATCCAGTCTCTTTTAACATCTGCTTATAGGCTGTAGACGGTCGATTTCTTTTAAGTAGATTGTAGTTAACGTCTCCAAACACCAGTGCTCTTTTTCGTTGTAATAATTGCTCGGAGTACGTTTCGAGAAATTTAGGGTTATTGGTTCTCTCTGGTTTGTATACGGCGCCTATGTCCACAGAAAATTTATCCAAGTGTACCCATAGAAAATGATTGTCGTCTTCACAAAGATCGTGGATGTAATTGTGTTTTAAGTTCTTGTGCACAAATATCGAAACTCCACCTCCCCTCATTCCACTTCGGTAATTATAATAATGTGCATAATTTGGAAGTTGTATACTCTGTCCTTCTGCTTCTGTTTTTATCCAGGTTTCAACCAATACAATCACATGAATTTATATAATTATTAATAAGTATTTATATAAATTTAATAGATCGTTATTGCTTTATTCTCTGAACTAAATATATATTTTATTCGCGTGTTGCCGGCATATACAAATAATATGCAAATTAACATTCTTTGACTCTAAAATCTTAAAACTCGCTCGTCGAACCGGTTGGTGTATCTATATTAATTGCTGTCACCATTCAAGTTTTTATTAATAAGGGCCAGTGACGTCAATGCGTTAGAAAGCAAACTATTTAGGAATTCCACTATATCTAATAATAATATTAACCGAAATACTTATATCACATTGCTAAACGATATTTAAAGGGCATTAAATTAAGCAAACACAGAAAACCATTACATTCTTAAGTAAATGAGTTTTTTTTCGTATCACGTTTGGACTGGTCACGCCTACTGTGGTCACAGGTTGACAGGTGTACTCAGTCGAGTGTCAAAGTAAAAAATACTGTGTGACTCTACCATGTTAATGACCGGATTAAGGTTTCAGTAAAAAATATAAAACATTCCTGTGTTATTTTTATTGGGAGGAATAAACATACATAATACAGGGTGGCCAGGGAGAGAAAGCTAAAAATTATCTCCTAAACTAAGCAAAATCGTAGAACATACATGGGGGTGATTTAGATACACCTTGATGTAAGGAATCTACATTTTAGCTTTCAACGTCAACTCCCTGGCCACCCTGTATAATAGTTCTTGCAACTCACGAAGGCGAGTGAGCATTACCTACTTGTATGTGTATGTGCACATGCACAGCATACTGTCTATCAAACGATAGCATAATGTCTATCAAAACTTTTGAAAAACGAACAGTAGCGAGCCACACATGTAAAGCTCACTCGCCTCCGTGAATTGCTATATAATTTGAAAACTGATCATAACTCGAGCACACACCTTCTAATGAACCTATGTACAGGTTTATATTTATCACAGTCACAGACTGCTGTCTCTGAGTCACATCATGTAAATTAATACCTGAGTGTCATTTTGTAATCCCAACTAATATTATAAATGCGAAAGTAACTCTGTCTGTCTGTCTGTCTGTTACGCTTTCCCGCTTAAACCTCGCAACCGATTTTGATGAAATTTGGCATAGAGATAGTTTGAGTCCCGGGAAAGAACATAGGATAGTTTTTATCCCGGTTTTTGAAACAGGGACGCGCGCGATAAAGTTTTTCTGTGACAGACAAAATTCCACGCGGGTGAAGCCGCGGGCGGAAAGCTAGTGGACCATAATCTGTCTTAGAATTCCCACGCTGTTGTTACATATCTAATCTTAAATATTACAGACACGTATGATGGGAATATGATTGATGTATTGCTTCAATTAGAGCGTGTCAAGAGTAATTAATTGGATATTATCGACGGGTGTCCGGTTACAACAGTAGCCATTGATCGCTCGGCTAACGTAACGATTCTTCCGGAACCATGGATCTATGTGGATGACGCTTTAAACGGTTATTTTCAGTAGTTGTTCATCAGAAAACAAAAGAAAGCATGAAGCGCTTTTTAGTCATCTTCCGGAACCATGGATCTATGTGAATGACGCCTAAAACGGTTATTTTCAGAAGTTGTTCGGAAACAAAAGAAAGCATGAAGCGCTTTTTAATCATATATGTAGTGTTCGATTTTTTTAGCACAGGCCACTTCATTACTGAGCTATAATATTACTCTGTCAATTTTTGTCTCCGAGTGTCTCTACGTAGCCATTCAGTTTTAAATAAAAAATTAATGGAGTCAATTCTCATCAGTGTAGATTTTACAGCTTAGCGGCTTAGCCTAACAAGGCTTATAAGATTAGTTGAACCCAAGAAAGATAAATATTTTTAACACTCATGTGCATAAAATTTAACACTACAATAAAATCTTTTTCAACCTATATTTCCTAAGGTCAAAGGACTCTGCTACTACAGTACTTCCTTCATTTCAACATAATTTCGTATGTATCGAACTAATCGACTTAATGACAAAGTATTTAAACTAATTGGATTGGAACGTCTTCAATATTCTCAGAATAGCTAATAAGCAAGCGTTAGGATTGGTAGCGAGTGCCGCCCAATCATATTTAAGTGTGAAGGGCATGCGCGTTACTGGTTACACAATATTGAAGAAGGGGCCTATAATGCATTACAATAGGATATCATCAAGGTAAAGTCGTCGATGAAACGCCTATTCAGATCATGCATAGGGGATGGCACATCAATCTAAACACTGAGGCAACTTAAATTGAAACAATTAGGTGCGGTTTTGCAAACAAAAAAAATGTCTCATGATGACTAAACTGGATATCTCATGTCGTGTACTTGAATACGATGTCATACATCTCATTATTTGTAAATAAAACAAATACAAATGATAAGACATCTTCATAAACTTGATATAACGTCATCATTGACCAAAAACAAAAAAAAAACTAGTTCTGCATCTGCATTAGGAGACCTGTTATAGTTAATAATAATAAATAAACGACTTACCAAATGACGTAGCAACATTGGTGATCAAGGCCGCTAATCCTGAAGCAATGAAGAACCGCTCCGGCGCAGGGTTCAAGCCAATCATGTAATAGGCTATGGTCGTGAACACCAGAGGTATGGTGGCGAATACAGGCGCTTCTGCCAAGGTTTTTGATAAGAAATACACGTCGGCTCGGTACATCCCTGAATGGTGTTCTCGGATGAAGATTGGCAGTTCGGAGCAGAAGACCTGTTCAGTAAAATCTAAATAAAATTCTGTTCAAATGATGTCAGTGACACTTATTAGTTAAATAATACAAAGAGTATCAATTTGTAACGATCACTGTGCAAATTATTTCAGCGTACTCTACTACGACTACGACCTTGCTACGAGATTTTCTCGTAGCAAATAATGTAGAAAATGTAATTAACATAGTATTTTGACTATTTTTTTAGTCAACATAAATCAATAATAATCTTAATTAAGAATTAGATGGCCTGTGTTAAATATCCAAGGATGGTATTATTTCTCAGTTACCCAATGCTCAAAAGGCGGGTCCACATCGGACGATTCACCGGACGATTCAGAGTGATTTTTTTTATGTGACAGGAGGCAAACGAGCAGATGGATCACCTGATGGTAAGTGATTACCGTCGCTCATAGACACCCGCAGACCCAGGGGCGTTACAGGTGCGTTGCCGACCTTTAAGGTGAAGATACGTGCGATAGCGTGTCGCACGAAGTTAGGTGCCCGGATCGTGAGGATAAATTATATTTTTAATCACATTTCGAAATTTTCTCATCACTTACGTTGATGACGGCGAATATGTTCTGGAAGGTCATGTTGGTGAGGAACATGAAGATGGCGCCGTTGATGTTCATGACGCCGTCCTGGTCCAGGTGCTGCCCGAAGTAGATCACGCCGATCAGGATTGACACCATCTAATCAGGTCAAAGTTGAACTATCAGTCATCATCATCATCATCATCTCTTTAAAATGCTCACTCAACACAACTTCTGCGACACAGACCTGCAAGCCTAGTGCAGAAGTTGTGGTTTTTACATTCTAGAAAATGATGATTTGTGAATAAAAAAATTACAAAAGCGAATAAAGTATTTGGCCTATATTCCCCAAGCTATCGCGCCAGCCAGATGAGTTAGGGAGGTTCGTATATGATCCCTTACTCACCCTTTATGATATGTACCTAATTGGAAAGATTGGGTATGATAATATTATGATCCCATTCTACTTTATCGGAATCACCCGGCTGCAATGTTTTTTTTTATCAAAGTGGTTAAATCAGATCAAAATTATCTTTATTTGTTTAGACTAATTAAATTAGTACTTACAAATCGTCAAATGCTCTTAAGGAGCCTATACATGTCTCATTCTTTTTTTGCCCTACCAGCGCTTCGAGACAAACATTTGGCAAGTGCTGAGAAGAAGCGCCGCAACAAACTCAGTCACCACTGTCTGCCGGGTTACATTGTTTGTCAGTAGGTAATTGGCGGTTTAATAGAACGGAAAAGCTTATCATGAACAAAATAAACACTACACAAAGCAAAGAATACTCACAATAGTCTGCAAGAAGCGCACTTTGATCAGCATGGGCTCCTTGGTGACTGAGAGCCATGACCTCCACAGAACCGCTCTGAATTGAGCGCACCACGACGCCTTGTAGGGCGAGCGGCGCGCGCGCAGGGCGGCGGCGCCCGCCCACGCCGCGTCCGCCCAGCCCGTCGTTAGTTTGCGCTTTATAAAACAAGAGCAGCGTTTACTAAAACGTTTAAATAACGTCTCATAAGTTTAATCAGTAATATACAGTGGAACGGTCTTTAATGACTGAGAGTGAAGGGCGTCGCAGGACCGCCCTAAACTGAGCGCACCACAACGCTTTGAAGGGCGTGCCCACGCCGCGTCCGCCCAGCCGGTAGTTAGTTTGCGCTTTATAAAACAAAAGCGGCGTTTACTAAAATGTTTGAATAACGGCTCATAAGTTTAATCAGTAATATACAGTGTAACGGTCTTTAATGACTGAGAGTCAAGAGCGTCCCAGGACCGCCCTAAACTGAGCGCACCACGACACCACCCGCCCAGCTGGTCGTTAGTTTGCGCTTTATAAAACAAAAGCAGCGTTTACTAAAACGTTTGAATAATAGCTTATGAGTTAAATTAGAAATATATTGGCTCTTTAGTAACTGAGAGCCAGGATCGCCACAGAACCGCCCTGAACTGAGCGCACCACGACGCCTTGTAGGGCGAACGGCGCGCGCGCAGGGCGGCGGCGCCCGCCCACGCCGCGTCCGCCCAGCCGGTAGTTAGTTTGCGCTAGGGCAAATCATGATGTACAAATCAATAATGTATTTTTTTAATATTAGTAATTTGCATTGCACAAATTACTAATAGTCCCGTTAGCCCCTCGTCTAAGCTAAATTATGCTTGTATCACGTGTGAGCTCACCAAAATAGTTGAGCGGCGGCGGGCTTCGAACCCGCCGTTCCTTGGATAACAAGTCGGTCAGTCCGACTTTTTCACCGTTTGGCTATCGTGGCTTCGAATTCGTACAGGCTTGCTGTGTAGAAACTATAATTCCTTTAGCTATATTTAATTTTTAATGCAATTGCACGTAATATTATGATGTACAACGGCGGTGGACGTAATGCCTGCCTCTACCATGTCACTTTTTCTCAGCCTCGCCAGCGTGATAGAAACTGTCTTCGGACATGGCGAAGCTAATACCGAATGGTGAAGCTACTAATGAACGTGTGTATTCAATGGTGTGCCTGACACCCCCAAAATTTAATACCGTAGATGACGTGGTTTACCTTAAGTTATTAAAACATAAGCCTACCTCCCTCATCAGCGCATTCTCAGCCTCGGCAGCGAGTCGACAACCAATTTCAGACTTGGCGAATGCTGTGCACACCGTGTCAATGGTGTGCTTAGTAGCCTCCTCCCGTCCTGGAACTCCCGCTAATAGCTGGATGAAGTGGTCTGCGGGGTTGTAGTTGGCTGGACAGGCTGCTCCTAGCCTGAATAGAACATATTTTTTGATGCAAAATTCCGTAAGCTTAGGAGTATCTTAAAATCTCGTGTTTTTGCAATTATTTGTCCCTACAATACACGGATTAGCAGCTGAAATTTGTAATTTTCGAGAGCAGCAGATGGAATCAAAAATATGGATAGCGTGTAATTCTTCAATATATTGAGGACCTAGACCTCAGATCATAGAAAGAGAATAGATATGAAGTCGCGCGTAATTACAACGAGAACCAGTGTCCCCACATTTCCCCCACCACAGCTCCCACACACACATTCAACTGTGTAAAAACAAAGCGACTGAGAGTCTACGACAACATGTGCAACCGGCTTAAAAGTGCTGTGATTGGCCAGAAGGCATGCCTTATGGCCAATCAATGGCCGCGTGACGTGACGCACACATTGAAAACGCTAGTGAGAGAACAAAGATAAAATGGAGTCGACAAGATATCGATACTTTAAATCGCTAGGGGCAAGGATCGAAACTGATTTCACAAAATGCTTATGTATGAAAACCTTTTTATTATTATACGTTTTTATTAACTACTATCACGCATTTACTTTTTAATTATGGCGATCTAAGTACCGCATAATGTTTATCAAAAATAATGCCTATATTAGGCTTTCAACTAGCTCTTATAGTAATTACATAGTTGACAGTTACTAATTACTTCTACTGTTATTTTTTTTTTGTAAAATCTTATAATCGCAAGTAACAAATCATTTTTTTATTTAAAATTACAAAATATAAAATTATAATTTACTTCTATTTATCGATAATAGGAAACCGCATTAGAACACGAGCACGGCACTATGTTACGACCGGCACATGCGGCCGTACTGTGTATTTTCACTCGACAGTGGATATCGGAAGAAATTAAATACATTGCGCAGTAGTTGAGCATGACATAAAGTGGTTGCTAACTAAATCGTCAATGTACAAGTGTGTTCGAATTTTTATCACCACTGATTTCGATATCGCAGTAACTGTTACGGCACTGAATTCGTTCGTAAAAATGTTTAGTTTTTTTTATTTATAAGCAAAATACCAATGGATTTGCAATACTTACATGTAGTAAATGACTCCATTGTTCCTGTAGTTCTGCGTTTCACTTGTTTTATTGCACGTAACGACGCATTATCCAAAATATCGGAGAACATTTCCTTAGTACGACTGAATCGCGACTAACCTAGCTACGCGGCCGATGTTCGTTTCTGGGCATATCGCGGAGACACGCGCCACGCCCCCGTTTCACATCTATTCCCTTCTATGATCTGAGACCTAGACCGATTACAAAAAAAAATCCAAAACACGAAGCTATTTCATTTCTTTTTCATAATCTTGATTATGAAAAAGAAATGAAATAGCTTCGTGTTTGGTGTATTCGAGATACAAAGGAATTTCTCTGCGACAGTCAAGAAATAATTAATGTTTGCACTTATTCCTGTGAATTCATAAGAAAATATTAATCTAGCTAAACCTTTAAACAAGTGCACATTTGAGACTCATTTGTTAAATGCAAAAATCCTAATAACAATGATGAACATTCAATCACTTACTCTTTGAAGAACTCAGTAGCTTGGTCTGGCGAGCCCAAGAAAGCTACTCTGCCGTCAGCCATGATGAGCAGCTTGTCAAACATGGCGTAGAGCTCAGAGGAAGGCTGGTGAATGGTACACACCACCGTCTTGCCCTTCTGGGCTAGGCCTTTGAGTACCTGTAGAGGGCATAGGTTTTGTCATCCGTGTAGTCGGTCAGTAGAAATATAGTAATTTTAAAAACTAATAGTATAACATAGTTTAATGTTAAAAACTCTAGTTCTTCTTGTTTAAATAAATAAACGGCGGAAACATTCGCCGAAGTGTGAAAACATTTACTTTATGAAATGAAAGTATTCACAATATTGTAGCTTCCTCCATTTCTTCCAAGTTTTCTGTTTCGGTTACTGTCTATTGCTGCTACCAATCTAGTTAGTTACAACATTGGCTTCCCTGAACCTGTTCCTTCTCAAAAATGCACATAAATGTTGAGTTAAAAAGCGTTTCTTAGATTCAATTGAAAAAAAAACGTGACCTTTTGTTTCTTTAAATATCTCTATCTAACATTAAATATTGAACAAGAATGTAAGATTTAATGCCATTAAGATACATACAATTATGTAAATAAGAATACAAACCTGTATAACATTTTGGGCCATAAACGAGTCCAGTCCAGAGGTTGGCTCGTCGCAGAACATGAGAGGAGGGTCTGTGAGGACCTCGCTTGCGAAGGAGAGCCTCTTCATCTCACCTCCAGAGATACCCTTGAGGCGGCCTGGGATGCCGATTACTGTGTTTTGGCATTTTGATAGGGCCAGCTGTGTAATGGAGATAATGCCTTACAAATTGTTCATGGTGGATATTTTATGGAATACGATTGTGTGCGATACAACTTAAATATTTGCAAATGCCTATAAATGTCCTGTGGAGTAGAGATGTTTTTCCATACACCAGTGTTTTTCAACCTGTGGGTCGTGAAGCCTCTTTAATGGGGTCGCGACAGGTCGTAGGAACTAGAACTACTTCGTATTCGGACCCTTAAACATCTTTGTATCATTATAAAATGCATGAAAAAAAAGCGAACGATCGCAAAATATTTTTTCATCCTAGGGGGGTCGTGTCATAAAAAGGTTGAAAAACACTGCCATACACGATAGGGGGCTAAAATATCTCCCAAATCTCCCAATGCTCAATCCACGTGACTCTACAAAGTATAAAGTAGGCCGCATCACTATTTACATAACACGGACCGTCTTCTACGTGCGAGTTTGTCTCTGTGATAGTTTTGTATTTGTCGCTCCATTTATTCCTCTCTCCTGCAAGACAGTTCATGGGACATGATTCTTTGCCAAAAAATATAAGAGTTTCAGAGATGGAAAACCGTAGTGGCATATTATACCAATAAAATAAACTACCTATATTTTTATGTGTTCAATGAAATTGCAGAATTACGTCTTTTCAGCGCTACTCTTACAAAACAAGCTAACTTTTAGCCCTACAAACTACACATCAACAAACATGAGACTATTTCACACGTTGTTTTTCTCGGATGCCAACAAGATTGCCTTGTATTGCATAACACTAACATCGTTTGGAAGCTGACAAATCGAAATCATTTAATGGAGCCCTTCATTATCATCAACACATTAACAAACCGCTATCGTGGTCACAATCCAAGGTGTTAGGAAAAAAACCCGTCCATTTTATCAAAAAGTAACGACGTTAAATGGAATGTAGTTAAAACCAGTCAATTTGCGTAGATCTCAATACATATTTACTTTGATAAATTGTGTAGATTAGTCGTGTGGAGTTGCTGGACTCCCATCGGCCGCGTCCCCAGGTGGTGGATAGGGGAACGCCTCCCAGATATGGGTGGTACTAGGGAAATCAAATACCTAGCGCGAACCAAAACCAGTAGGCATGGGCGTGCCTTTAGTCTCGTAAGATACGGCCTAGGGGATCTCACCCCGACAGAAAAGACAAAGCTGTGGATCAGTTAAAACTCATGAAATGGCGGAATCTAAAACTAATCTACCCCAGGAGGGTACCACTGATTGTGGAGAATCCCTCTCTGAACCCTGTTCTCTAGGACATAGTTCAGGCTGCCCTTCGGATTCTGGGGGGGGCAAATTTCGCTCTAACAACATTGCAACTTCGAAGATAAATAACCAAAAACTTAACCTCACACAGCAAATTTTTCATAGGGGAATGTTCACAAACAGACCAAGATCTAACTCCTTCAGTGGAACATGTCTAATATCAGATTTACCTGCAACCAATGCACAACCCACTGAGATACACTGCACTGAACAAGGTGACAAAAACGATACACAAAACTGGCAAGAAATCAACGATCGCAAGAGATCCAAAAGACCCAGAAATAGTCCTGAGACAGTGGAAAGAAGTCAAAAACAAACCAAACTTAACTATTGGCTAGCAGCCCCTGCACCTATACCAACATCAAATAGATTTGCTGAACTTGAAACCACTGACCAAGCACATACAACAGAACAAATAGTAAAACCTCCACCTTTCTTTATTGACAAGGTCAGTAATATCCAGCCACTATCAAAACTACTGGAAAATGTGGCTCAAGGAGACTACGAAATAAAAATCTTACAAGGTGAAAGAGTTAAAATCCAGTCAAAATCCAAAGAAACATATTCAACTATATATAAAGAACTTAAAAGCAGAAATACAGAGTTTTATACGTACCAACCGAAACAGGAGAGAAGCTTCAGAGTTGTACTAAAACATATTCATCACTCAACTGACGTTGATGAAATAAAACAAGCCTTGGAAGAACTAAACCATATACCCAATAACATATGGAATATTAAAAACAGCAAAACGAAAAAACCCCTTCCAATGTTCTTTGTAGACTTGCAACCGAGTCCTAATAACAAGGATATTTACGGCATCAGATCACTTCTTAATTGTAGAATAAAAATCGAACCACCAAGGCCTAAACGCGAAATTCCACAATGCTCCAACTGCCAACAATACGGACACACACAAAAATTTTGCCACAGACAATCTAGATGCGTGAAGTGTGCTGGACTTCATCACACAGCAGACTGTCCTAGAAAAGAACGCTCAGATAAAGTGAAATGCATACTCTGCGAAGGTAATCATCCTGCCAACTACAAGGGCTGCATTGTATATAAAGAGCTTCAAAATATAAAATATCCTACTCAACCCAAACATCAGACACTCAAAAGATCTGAATATGTCATGAAAAATAGTCAAACCAAAGCAGAGAGTAATGACCCAGGTAAATCATACGCAGCAACCGTGAAAAGTAACTATACAGAATCCAACAAAGATAACGCTCCAAGTACAGAACAGAAACAGATGTCAGATATTCTACAAACCTTTAATACCTCAATACAGACTCTCATGAACCAAATGTTAAAAATGACTCAGATGATAACTGAACTCATGTCAAGATTACCGTTGCATTCGATACGCTAAAGCTCTGTGTATGGAATGCTAACGGCCTGTCAAACCACTCGAATGAGTTAAAAATCTTCCTGAACACATATAAAGTTGACATTATGTTGATCTCTGAAACCCATTTTACAATCAAGAGCTTTCTTAAAATCCCCAACTACACTTTATATCACACCATGCATCCAGATGGCAAAGCACACGGTGGTTCAGCCATTCTCATTAAATCAAACATCAGACATCATCAAATCCAAGCATACTGCAAGGACTACATTCAGGCTACTAGTGTGGTTGTGTGTGATTGGACTGGTAATATCACAATATCGGCCCTATACTGCCCCCCTAGACACACTATTAAGGCAGATCAGTTCAATGATTACTTCAATACTCTTGGAAATCGTTTCATAGCAGCTGGAGATTATAACGCCAAACATACCTACTGGGGATCCAGACTAACATTACCAAGAGGTCGCGAACTACTCAAATGCATACAAGCAGGAACTATGAACGTAACTTCAACAGGTCAACCCACATACTGGCCTTCTGACAAGGAAAAAATACCGGATATCATAGATTTCTGCATATTCAAAGGCATACCACAAAGCAGCATCTCCTGTTATAGTTGCTGGGACTTATCTTCGGATCACTCACCTATTCTGGTAGAAATAGGAGCAATTTAAAAATTAAATAAAAATAAATTACAGTTTTTGAACTATAACCCGATCGAGCTAACTGCGCACCTCTCGCTGGAATGCGAAACCCTCACACACCTCCCCGCGTCCTTCCCGCCCGTACCAGAGCGTTGATGTGACGTCACAGCTGCCAGCTGCGCAGTTAACTTAAGGCGATTAGAGTCCTCAATGACCTTGGGCGTTTGACCTTCACGCCGCGAGCAACACCCGCGTACCCCGCACCAAAAACTCCGATTTGACACCGATCAAAAATACACGGGCATAGGTNAAATAGGAGCAAAGTTCAGAGAAACTACCAAAAGATGCACATTGCACAGCAAAAGGACTAACTGGCCCCTATTCCGTGTCCTAATAGACGATATATTTTGTGAACCTATTGCACTACAAACAAAAGGTGATGTTGTAGACGCCATAAAATTTTTCACCACGAGCATTCAGAGTGCAGCATGGAATTCAACCCCAATAAATCAACACAAGCTTGTTGAGCAACACATACCCTCACACATTCTTGACAAAGTTCGAGAGAAAAGAGCGCTTCGCAAGCTATGGCAGAAAAACAGATGCCCTGACACAAAAAAACTCTTAAACTACAAAATAGCAGAACTAAAGCGTATTCTTGAACAAGACAGAAACGCAGGGTTTCAGGCATACCTGGAGAGCCTCGATTCCACCGCTGCTACTGACTACTCACTCTGGAAAGCGACAAAGAACATTAAACGGCCTATAACTATTTCCTCACCACTGAGAAGAACAGACAGCAACTGGGCTCGTAGTGACCAGGAGAAGGCAAATACATTTGCTGAACACTTAACAAACGTCTTTCAACCCCATCCCTATGAAGGCCCACCAGAACATGAGAAAATGGTGCTGGAATACCTTAAAGCAGAAGACTTAGATGAAAAGACACCAATGAAGTTCACTGCGAAAGAGGTCAGAAGAGTAATACAAAAAGCCAACCCAAAGAAATCACCTGGATATGACCTGATCACCAATAAAATCCTGCAGGAAATGCCTGATTCTGGAATAATATTACTCACAGCAATATTTAACGCGGTATCGAAACTACAATTTATCCCACCAGAATGGAAAATTGCACAAATAATAATGATACTAAAACCAGGGAAACAACCTGAGGACCCCAAGTCATACCGGCCTATTAGCCTACTGCCCATCCTGTCTAAAATATACGAGTCGTTATTATTACTACGGTTATTACCACTGGTAGAACAGCACGGACTAATTCCTGACCACCAATTTGGGTTTCGCCGCAAGCACTCCACTATTGATCAAGTTCACAGGCTAGTAAATGAAATAGACAAGACCTTTGAAGCTAAAAAGTACTGCGCCAGTGTCTTTCTAGACATATCTCAAGCATTTGACCGAGTTTGGCATGCAGGTTTATTATTCAAAATAAAATCCTTACTCCCCAAACATGCATACGAAATTCTGAAGTCTTTCATAGAGGATAGACACTTTCTAGTCCAAAATGGCGAAGCACTCTCGGGTCTTCGCAGTATTAACGCAGGTGTCCCACAGGGTAGTGTATTGGGGCCGCTACTTTACCTAATCTACACCTCAGATCTTCCGACATCAGATTGCATAACTACTGGAACATTCGCCGATGACACTGCTATCCTAGCTTCCCATCAAGACCCAATAGAGGCATCAAGAATCCTACAAACTGGACTAGATGAAATATCAAACTGGCTAAAGATGTGGAGAATCAAAGCGAATGAAACCAAATCAGTCAACATCACCTTCACCTTGAAAAGGGGAATCTGTCCGGGAGTTACACTTAACAACCTCGAGATCCCCCAAACAGACAACGTACGATACCTGGGCTTACATCTTGACCAACGGCTCACGTGGAGAACACACATTTTTACCAAGCGTAAACAGCTGGGACTGCAAGTACGAAAACTCTACTGGCTAATAGGCCGCCGATCGCAATTGTCAATGCATAATAAACTTCTCCTGTATAAGACAATACTAAAACCTATCTGGACCTATGGTATCCAACTATGGGGCACAGCCTCACATTCCAACATCGAAATCGTACAGAGATTTCAGAACAAAATGCTGAGAATGATAACCAATGCTCCCTGGTATGTCACAAATGAACAGCTGCATCATGACCTACAAATCAACACAGTCAGCCAGGAAATTGTACATCATACAAAATCGTACAAAAAACGGATCACAAACCACCCCAACCCCTTGGCGAGACCTCTGATGGACGAAACCCAGACACATCGTAGACTGAAACGAAAAACTCCACAGGACACACTTAAAACCCAATAAAGTGAAGTAGGATGTGACACAGGCCACATACCGAGCAAGACATGACATATCCCAACAAACATACTACTCAATGTTCCAGCAAGGCAACAGATTGTAGTGAAAAAGAGAATAAAAAAAAAAAAAAAAAAAAAAAAAATTGTGTAGTAGATATTGTTTCACTAAGTGCTGTGTAGTATTTGTAAAATTACGTTTATAAAATACGGAAACTGAATATCATTTAGTTACTTACCTCAGTGATGACTTCTTGAACTCTACGCATGCGCTGTGTGTAGGGTATATGCCGGTCCATGCGCACCAACGCCTAAATTTTGAAAATAATAATTTAATTTATGATTTACGCATATAATTTACGAGGATTACCATAATCTTAATCATAAAGTGACAAAAATTACCATTATTAAACAAATATTACGTTATTTATTGCTCATTTATGACAGTTACTAATTACAGCAAAAAAATAATCATGTTGTTAAATGTTAAAGTTTAGAATATTTATTAGCAGACGATGGGCATTTGTCGGATTTTTACTACCATACCGCCCACAATTCAAATGTTACGAGTAGTTATGGTTATGATAGCCATTGGCGTGAAGTCATTAGCATGATAAAGCAATATTGTCTATTGTTGAGATATGAATTGGCTCTACAGCTATACACATTTCATGTTTTTATAGGTCAGTTTCGACAGTCATTTATCTAATCTAAATCAATAAGAACAGTATCTGACTTCTATGGGAGGGGTTCTTAAGTTCAGGTGGGGATTCTTGGATGGCTCAAACTAGCGAGTGCAGGTGTGGTTTTGTTCCCCAGTTGACGAAGCACATGATGTCGTGCCATGCGTGCCCAAACAACTGCACGCAGGAAGATTTAATGAAGGCTATACTGACAACGCCATTCTTGTGGCTGGGCCGACGCTATGTAGGTTTATTTTCGACACGACAAGAAGAAGATGGGAGGGGTAAAAAATGTTGCTCTAGTCTTAGGCCCGGTTTCCAAAAAGGCGGGGCAGAGCGGAGAAGTGTTTTGAATAACCAATCAGATTTCATTATTTACACTTCTCCTCTCCGCTGCGCCCAGCTGCGCTCCGCGCCGCCGCTGTCAAATTCTATAGAAAAATTAATCCGCCCGAAATTTCTCCGCCTTGGTGGAAACCAGGCAACTTCTACCAAAGGTGCCGATACGTACCTGAAAGATCAGATGCTCCTTGACAGTCAACGTGCCAATGAACAGATCCTGCTGCTGAACGTACGCTGACAGCGCTGTCAAAGCCTCGGGGGTGGCTGGCTGGCCGTTAAGCGCTCGCGTGCCACTGGCCACTACTCCACTGGGAGTTCGGAAGGTCAGGGTGTTGAGCAGGGTAGTCTTACCGGCCCCTGAGGAGCCCATGATTGCCAGAAGCTCGCCAGGGTATGCTGCGCCGTTTACTGACAAGAAAAGTTATCTATTTAAAAAAATTCAAATCGGAAGAAAATAATTGCGTCGCTGCTAAGGGTATGCCGTTCGATCCCCACACGCAGGGGAAAATTGTTTCCGAGGAACACATCTTAAAAGTATGTAATCTTTTCCCAAACAATGAAGCGTATTGTTTTCTGATTCTTTTATTTGCCTCTGGTGTTCCTACTGTGGCCAACAGAGATTCAAAACAGTCTATCAAATGCTTTACACCCAATGTTTTATTGAATTGAATTGATATCCTAAGAAATCTTCAATGTTTCTTACCATTCCTAAGAAGCTGCTTCCTCTGCTGAAACATGCGATCCGACGAGTTCCTCCACATGTTCCAGAACCTTCTGCTCCTGGACCTGTTCTCGGTGGCGAAGGCGTTGACGTCAGCCCAGGTGTAGGTGACCTTTTCGACGCCTCCCCCGATGGCGCCGTAGTTGCGGTTTGGTATGGACAGAGTGACCTCACCGCCGCTAGTGCGGGGTGTCTCGACTGGCGAGTTACCATCCTAGGAAGCAAAAGATAGATAGAGAGAACACACTTTATTGTACACCATACAAGAAAGAAAACAAACGAATAATATAATTGTAATGCTGTATTCTTTTACTGTAGGTACACTAGTTGGTGCTAATTTTTTAACTATTTTCTGTTGCGAACTACATATACTACGGAGGTCGCTGTCTACGGTTGTCTTCCCCGAACAATGGGAATGCCTCTTCAAGACAAGAGCAAGGACTTCCTAAGCATGTAAGTATCACCCTAGATTCGTCTACAGTTAATATCAAATTAAGTTGCGGTTGAATATCAACCTACGGCCGAAATAAGAAAACAAGCCTATGAACCTAATCGGATATATCACTGAAAGAAAGATTCTGAAAATCGTAAACCGTTCTTTGAATTAGGAAAGAAGTTTTTACTTAGGTAAATGACCTAATTCAGTGCAAAATGATACGGTTATTGTCCCCCTCAGTACCGAAAGCTGTCTCTATGAGCATTTTACGCGCCATCGACTCCCGCGCACGTTACGCAAACGATACGCCGGCCGCGGATCAGCTTACTGGAGAAATCAACGATGTTACACATACCAAGCATGTCGAATAGATATGTCGTGAAAACCCTTTCTGTAAATTTTGTAGATTTGAAGATAGAATACGTGACAATTCTAATTGGAGAGAAAGAAAGATGTTGGAATGGTACAATTTAGGCAGTCTTTATCAGTAGCGGTAGGAAGCGATCTCCTCCATACAACCTAGATAACGAGCAAATAGCTATTTTGCTTCTATTGAACCTCATTTTCAGTTAGTATCTACAACGTGATACAACTGTTTGATCTGTAGCTAGATATTCCCTTTTGTTCTATTCAACGGTCTGAAGTTTCTTTGCTTGGAAAAATATTAAGCGCGTTGTTATTATGAATTTGTTAGTAGAGGTATCCTAGAATCCTTTCTTGGTTGGACTCGTCTAAAAACTACAGGCACAAATAAAATTAATAACAATGAAAGTGACGCAACATTGTTATAAACCCCGAAGCCCCAACCGAGTGATGGCCGGAAGGAATTAGACCCCTCGTTTTATCGGTTTCCACCAGTTCCTATCGCGTTACAACTCAACACGTGATACGGAAGCTAGGCGCCTGGGCCCGCGCTAAGTTTGCCGCTAGGAATAACAGGATTTGAAAACGGGTGTCAAATTTTGGTTAGTTTAGACCTCCCCTCAACTATTAGTTCCGGGCCGTGTCGGTTTTGAGCCTATTAGACTAATAATCCCAGCGGTATTGAATTTCGGTAATTGATATTTAAGTGGGTTTTTAATATCATCGTAAAATAGGTGCTAAGCTAACCATAACCACAGTAAAACGTTTGCCCATTAACATCAAAGTTATCACTCAAGCAAGACCAAACTCCATCAATTAGGACGCGATACACAAGTCCTATATTCTCCGACATCTTGACAAAGCTAATCTTCAAGAACTTTGCATCTCAGCAAGCGTACCTAGCGGTATAGCAGGATATAACCGATTGAATGAATTGGAGACAATTAATGGGCCCAACCGTAGACCTTTGATCGACATCAGTCAAATCTTACAAGGGGAATTTTGTAATGTCAGTCAATAAAATCATACACATGACTTACGGGACTATTCCCACCTCTCGTTCCCACCACTGCAACTCCTGTGTACCTAGGTAGGATCTACAGCTTGACCGCCACAAAAACCCAACCAATGAAGGTCAAGTTTGTCCCGGGGGAAAGTTAAACTGTCATTGGACCCGCAACGAAATTAATCAGAAGAACATAGGAGGAGTTCGAAATTAAGGTTCGACTTCCCTCCATTGCAAAGCAGATGACAGGTGACAAAGGTTTAAAAAACCTTTAAGAAAAGATTATAAAAATACACATGACTTCCCAAACTTAGTGTACCTTTCACCAAAGGTGTAGGTAATTAAAAGTGAGACATAATTACCGATCATTAAACATTGCATCAACAATAAATCGATTACACCACGATTACAAGCCTTCATCGTAGTTAAGTTCACATGTCAATCTGAACGCTCAAATGGTAACCCGAGAATTTGGACTGGTCCAAAGTCAAACCGGTCCACTAGGTCTTGTCTCCGTGACGGCCCACGGAATCCGAAGATGGAACAAAAACCCGAAGTGTTACTAGAAACAAGTTTCTTTTTTATAGCACGGGCACTGTTTTAGACGGGAAATTATCATTGGCCTAGTGGAGTGGCTTGATTGACGCTGCTATTAGTAGCAGAACTTTTTTGTTTTGTTGCTATGGAATCAGTCATTTAATGTTTGTTGTGGTTAAAGACTGCGGTCCCTTTTATATTGTTTTTGATATATTAAATACACTAAACTTTCTTACAGATCAAGTTTTGGATCTGTGATTTTAGTAACAAAAGTTAAATTTAATTTAATATCCCCTTAACTTTAATTTCGCGTAAGTTTTTAGAAGATCCTAGAAGCATAGATATATTCTAATAACAATAACATGCAAATTAATGTATTTCTATTTATTGACATGGTTGCGATATCTGGCACATACAAGTAGATATTGTAAATTACTTTTTATTATTACGTAAAAGTTAAATTTCCGTCTTTCAGCATCCGTTCAGCATTAGAAACAACCATAAATCTCACAAATGATATTTAATTAAAGAAATTCTAACTAGCTGCATATTTAAGAACTTATTTCTTTAGCTATAACTACAAAATTCTCGATAAATAGATGAGACGGTTTCGAAAGAAAAATATCAACTGCGTTCCACAAATAAACCAGTTGCTAAGGTCTACGAAACCCATTAGATTCTTCCACTATGGTTTGGGACCTTGAAAGAATACAGATTACATGGCGCTTATAGGTACTTAGGTACATAAATCTGTATTTACAGCAGTAATACAAAATTTCAATAGTTCTAGATTCTTAAGGGATATTTTTATAAGAAAACAGTAACAGGTAATTCATTTATTTGACGTAAATATTTAAATACATGGACTGGAAAGTGTATATTTCAAAAGTGTTCCTACACTGGTAAATAGTCAAATAGTCTTGTTTGTAAGTATACTAAAGATTATTCAGTGGCAGACGGGTAAATAAGGAAAAAAACAGTTTTGATAACTAAAACAAGGGTAAACAAACATCTTACCTGCGGAGTTGCATTGAAAGCGACCGTCTGGTTGTCCACAGACGTCGATATCAGAGGCTCGTGCTCCTCAGTTCCAGCCGTCATTTGGGAATCAAAAAGTACACAAAATCACTAACACACCACTTTCATAGTACACAACACAGGTTTTGGCGGCAAGTTTGACAGCGCGCGGCGACTACGACGGGACAAGCTAACGCGCCGACTGTACCCGCTACACAAATCGACTAATCACAAATGTTCGCGTAAAGTGTACATTTCTGAGATCTCACTAGTGCGGACGAGCGAGCTTCGAGCATTGCCACACTATCAAATAGTTTTCTTTACTATCATTGTGCATACTCTGCATGTAAATAATTTCGTTTCACAACAGACAAATGACAATCGTGAAACGTCTGAGATAACTCTTTCGTTATTTTGACTGTGTGCACTATTTAAAAATATCTTGAACTGTTTAGTTTTCAAACAGTAACCAAATAGGTAAATTTCATTTTTTCAGTCGGTTTATTTATTTTGATTTTTTTTATTTAGACAGCATTCCGAGAAATTGCATGTTTTCTTTTCTTGACATTAACACTTCTCAACCACTGCAATGAATGCAGATTTGTTCGTGAATTTCTTTTTAAGATAATAAAAAGACTTAGTTAACAACGAAAGTAAAATTTAAATAAGTAGGGCCGGAATAAATACACAAATATCATCGTATGTAAATGTTTATTAAAAAAAACATATTTGAGATAGCAAATTAATTGATCGGTAAATTATTTATACAATATATAAATGAATACCCATTCGTACTTCCGTTACTCGTATGATTATATTATAAAATGACACATGACAAAGGAACTATTGTATGTAGACTCGAGTGTTTCATGACCCTTTACAATATGTATTAATTTACCAATATGGCTAACATATTCCTTTTATATATATAACTTAGTAACTATTTCACATAACATTGCGTTAACATACCTACACTAACTCCATTCATAATAGTATTATTTGGTAGATTACTTGAAAAATAGATACGCCTCATTGGAGTTTTCAATCCTTTTATTGACATTCTGTTCATGTCTGTAATTAATAAAAATAAAATCGTACATCTGAATCTGGGAAATTCATTGAAGATAAACTTGTTCAAAATTAGTTTCACGAGACGCCTACACGAATATACCATTTTTACTAAAAACAAAACGATCTTTAACATTAATCTCACTTAAAATAATTAATAAATCAAATCTGCATCTTAATGTAATTGTTGAAATAATCAATAATAATAACATACAAGTTAAAACATCTTGGCAACATTCACAAAATGTCAAATAGTCTGGATACTCCATAATAAAATCAACAAAACTTATGTCAAAGTAAGTTACAATGGACTAAGGCGATCTATTTACGCTTTACACATAAATAAACGGCGATATTAATATGTACATTGCACAAACGGATCTCGTGTACCTAGTGAACTTAGTACGGTATATTTAGCTTCTTATTTAGCACTACATAGGAAGCATATTCGGTTACAGATACCATCAGCCAGGTAATTAATCTACTTAATTCACACTTCGATATTTTGGTGAAATATGAGATATAATAATAGTAATCGCGGCATATTCAATAGTATATTAAACTAAAACTATTCATATAGATAGTTAATATTTTGTCTTTGCGGTTATTTTTATTACTTACAAAAACAACAAAAATAAACTTATCAGAATGGATTCTTAAACTTAATTGTAATAAATGTTTTTTCTATATTTCGGTTGCGACGTAAATTAATAATAAACATAAGACAGGAAACTGGAAACATAACATAAATAGGTTCTATGTATTCAAAATGCTTCATGATAGTAAAATAAATATACGTCCAAATACAGTGTCATTAGAATGCATAAGATTATTATTGGATTAAATATGTATGATTGGTGTATATCTACTAACCATATAACAAGATATTTTAAAGAGGTACATACTATATTTTACAACCGTTACTCAGATAAATTCAAAACTTTTCAATTATGAAGTTCAATATGAGTAATATTTTGTATACAAGCTATTATATTTCATTTATTTGTGATTATAAGAGTATATTCGGAATAACATGCATTTAGTTCTTATTATAAGAATAATTTCAGGTGTGTTGCATAATTCAATTAAATATACTTATATTAAAACAGTTTGTTGCTTTCTCGCCGTAAACGTAATAATAAATTATTTTTTCATTTCGTCGGAAGTAAATTCTTTGGAAGTATTTTACTGAGAGTATGTAGTATTGATCAGGTATGGAAAAGTATGGAATACAATTTATACTTACCTATGGAACGTAAACTACATATTCAAGGCTTTTAAATGATAAAACGTGTATGAACAATTTTAGAACGTATTGACAAAATATTATAAGCTAGCTAGATAATTATTTTAATTATAGAAAATTGTTGATAGCGGTAGAATAATAGCGCATCGAAAGCCTGTACTATAATTGAATAAATAATGGATTATTTAGCTAAAATAATATACAAATTTCAGTTAAATCGAAATAAGCCAATTATTTATATTTATTTATTAATGTTACACAATCACTATAAGAAATTACATGCCTTATAGGACTGTATTTTTTATTGAACTATTGCTAATCAATTGATGGCAAATATTTTGTTTAAATCCGATTATGTTAAGTCAATAGTAATACAATTACTTCAGATAATAATGTCTATGCCTTGGTTCTAAATTGTATTAATTGCTAGACAGCATTTCTGGCGTGATTCACTAATGTATCGCGGTTTGTCTTATCTATGGCTAAGGCGATCAGTCTAGTTACTTATTGGCAGTGTGTACGGATATTGGTGGATATTGACTGACCATAAACAACAAAATCACCTCTATGTTTTCATTTTTCTCTGTCTCTGCTCTCAAAACTTTTGTTTCTTCATAGAGCTTGTATGGAAGTTTGTGTTGATTTTTGAAGTCCACTGATCGATTGATTAATTAATTTCAAATTAAAGTTTTCTAACCTCCCTTGTGTGTAAAACAAAGTATTAAAACACCATATAATTTAAATAAACAGTGTTTTGTCTCTTCATCCGATATTAACACTTGACAGAAAGTGTCAAAGTATTTATTAAATAAAATGGACTCAAGCCACAATTTTCAGCTTGGCTGGCCACCACCAAGTCTACAAATGACCTGGATTGCTCGATCTAATAAATCATAATCAAAACCACATCAATGTATTCGGTTACGAGCGACAGATATGACAGTAACATAATACATTTCATTCTGGACAGACTGCACGTATGATTTTCTTCGTGTACAAAAGTAGAATTCAAGGAGTAATCTACTTTGAAAACTGGAGAGTAGAGGTATTTTTGTTCATATGTCTTGTTGCTATGGCCAACAATGTTCACGTCATGAACTGAAGTTAAAATTATTTGACCATAAGTAAGTATACGTAAACGGTCGAACGTTTTGGTTATATGCTTGTAATAAGCTCTTTTTGTCATACAAATTCTGATTGCACTGGCAATTATAAAATATTTAATGAATAGGTCAAACCATTCAGACTTTTTATTTCATTGAAAACACTGCGGAATTGCAATGAGCGAGGTTCATGTTAGAGTAGGCGCACACCGTTGATTTTTATTTGGCCGATAGTTGTGCCCGATTTTAAATTGTATGAAGAATCGGCCAAATCGAATCGGCGTAGTGTGCGCACTCCCATACATGCCCATACTGATCAACTGCCCGACTAAAAATCGACGGTGTGCGCCTACTCTTAGCTGGATACACTACAGGACAAAATGACCTAAACGTGACGGTGCAATTTCGCTTTGTGCCCTGCAAATTGAGGAATATCAACAGTACATCAAACTTTGTCACGAAGTCAAGATTTTTCATCAAACTTTAGCAAAATATTTGGCAATCAATTCGTCCTGTAGTGTAACCACAGCTTTAAATTAATAATCGACAACGAGCGAACATTACAATGCACTATTTGTATTTATTATCTATTTTAGCAAATTGAGTAATTTGACTGATTTGCATCTTATATTTACTGAACACTACTGCAGAATTATCGAACAACTATTATGTATGCGAGGATTACACCTATTGATTCTGTGATATGTCTAATCTAGTCGAGGTATACATTGTTTAGGTCTTTTATGTTTTTGCGTTCCCGTTGCATAATAATATCGTTATGCAATTGCTATATTATGCTATTTCTAATCTAAGTTACATCTTAGTGATCCTAGCCATAGTACTGATGGATAATTTGGTGGTATCATGGGAAAATCTCACATCGATTGGAGTTGCATAACATTGTAAAAGATAGCATAGCATGAAGCCAAATTACGACTACCCGAATAGCAACATTACTAATTTAAATGACTTATTAAGTAGAATAATCGTTAAAAAAGGTAATGTATATATTTATTAAATGTCACCAATTTCAACTGGTTTATGATTGCGGTTAACGACCGCATCGACTGGTCGCTTTTGGCAATTTACCCCCAATGTTTGTATAGGCACATATTAAATTGTTCATAAAATTAAGTTCTTTATCATATTTCTCGCACATCTCACGTAATCAATCGATCTTTTTATAAGGCGCATATTGTAAAATTAAAATTATTATTGAGGATTACAAAAGAAAGCAGTCGATGCGTCCCGACGAGTCAATAACTACCAAATATTTCAGCCGTAAACATCTTAAAACGTTAGTAGAAACCGACCGTCAATAATTCACCTAACTATGCACAACGGTTTGTAACAACAACTTAATGCTAAAGTATATCATAAGGCATTTTCATCATTCAAATATTATATCAATCCACACTAGTCCGTGTATATTTAACTAGAGCGTTCCAACGAGTGCTAAATTTTAAGTTCCAATATGTTTACTAACCTGCATAGATTATCTAGCGATTACAGACATAAGAGGTTACGAGTCGATCTAAGGGCTGGAAGATGGCGGTCGTCCACCAAAGAGGCGTCCACGACCTTCCTCTTCCATAGACAAACCCGAGATGAGGGTAAACTAACTGGCATTATTTAGTACACGACACCATGAGGTAGCCTGAAGTTACAATAAAAGTACTTAAAACGAAGATTTATTTTTCTCCTAAAAGATACGACGATATAATACTGCTAAGCCTATTTTAAATTACACGCCGTCGCAACGACACCGGGGTTCGTTAAAAAAACTACATGCAAAAATAACGACTTCGCTACTTAGTCCTAAGTTTGAATGAGAGCACAATTCGCTAGGGTGCGC